CTGGGGCCACCGGGTACTGGGGCTTTAACGATCCAAGAGTCATCACCCTTAGACCGTTTGCTACACGAACCTGCATTTACAATACAACAAATAAGTATAGATTCAACACAACATATTGTGACTATCTGTATCAATGATATGCTATTCCTAAATAAAAGTATATGTAACTAACAGTAACAAAATTAAAGTACGTAGAGTATTTACCAGAGGAGGATCCAGTGCCCGCAAGACGACCCCCAATCTGTCGTGGAGGAACATGTCGTACATGGGGAGGAGGAAGTGACGTAGTCTGCTCATCTTCAGAGTCAAACTCCTCGTCCTGGTCATCGTCATAATCGTGGACCAGACTCTCGACGATCGGTGTATAAGCCGACGACTGACAAATAAGTATCCTCGACATACTCCCCAAACTGCCAGCCATCGATGAGCTGGGCTGTCCACCGCTCTGCATCGGAGGCGCGAGAGGTCTCGTAACACCAGACATGTATGGGAGGTGGGGCTGCTGACCAATCGGTACCGTAGGAACAAGAGGTAATCTCCTAGCCGTCTCAGCCTGAGCTAGCTGAGCCTCACGGATCCTCGCCTCCCTCCCCCGACGAGCGTCGACATCTACAAACCGACACTGCGTGTTTCGGGGTCCAGAACCCTGAAGCTGACCTAACTCCTCAAGCCGCTCAAATCCATCACTCTAAATCAACAAATTAAACTAATAATTAATAAACAAGTATTTTTAACATTTATTTATTTTAATAATTATGATAACATAATTAATATTATCTTATAATTAATTATAAGATAATTATAGAACTCCTATTAATGAAATTATATTAATATATTCAATTAATTTTATTATGTAATTTTACTAGTATATATATATACCACTTGTATTAATAATATTATAAAATTTCTAATAATTACTATATTTATATATTAAATCAATTTTATTTATATATTTCAAACAATTTTTTATTTTTCAAACTTTTTATTATTTATTTATTTATAAATTATTATAATTTTTATAATTAAATTATTAACATTTAAAATTAAAACTTTTTAATATATAATTTTTAACATTTTATTTTATTTTTATACAAACAAAATAATTTTTCGAACTTTTAACATTTCGAAATTTTAAATTTTTAATATTTATTTTTATTTTTTAATATTTACAATATTATTATTTGTTTTATTATTTCTTTTAGTTTTTAAAATTTTTAAACTTTTTAATATATAAAATTATTATTATTTTTTTTAAATTAGAAAAACGAAAAAGGGCCGGCCGACGACGACCGGAAAACGCGCGGCCAGCCGCCCTTACAGGAAGCAGCACGGACGGCCGGCCAAAAATGGCGGCCGCCTAAGGCGGGACCGCCCGCAAGCTAGCCGGCCGCGTGTGGCCGGCCCCTTTTCCAGGCCGTCTTTGGCTTGGCCGGCCCCCGCTGGGCCGACATCCGTGGTCGTCTGTGCCACAGCCGGCCGCTATCCGCGGCCGACCTGATCTTTCTCGGCAGGCAAGGGTGGCCGATCGTGTAACAAAAAAAATAAAATTTTAAACATTTATTCTGATCGGAAAAAAAAAAACGTACTTATCGAACGAAGAATCTCTTGCCTCCGTGTTGTGGTGGTCTCAACATTTTTTTGAAATTTTTTCGGACGTCGGAAATGGCCGAATCGAGAAACGGGGATAAGAGAGAAAGAGAGGAGGAGAGAGAGTGTGGGTGGAGGGTAATTTCGATTTTTTGGGCGATAAATGATAATATGGGGACGGTGTTTAGTAATCCAGTAGAAAAACGGACAACAGTTACTCACCACACGATAAACAAGTACCCATTATTCATTACTTACAAACAACCATGTAATGTAACACATAAAAGCAACAACACTTGCCCTAGACGCAACTATAACATCGAATACTCACTTCACTTTCGCTCCGCCGCTTCGCACCCACCGTTTCGCAGCTCGTCGTTGGTTGCTCACTCACCGGCGCTGTCAACCCTGCTCTCACCCACGACCCACCGGCGCTCTCAACCCCGCTCTCACCGTCGGGCGATCTCGACCCAGCTCTCACCTTCCGGCGATCTCTACCTCGCTCTCACTCTCTCACCCTCCGGGCTTTCTCGTCATTCCACACCGGCTTCATCAATTTAGGTCAGCTCTCAGTCACTCTCTCGATTTCTTTTTTCCTTTTCTATTTTGAATCGTCTTCTTGTCTTTCTTCAGATTTTCGTTGAGGCCTGAGGTATTGGATGCTTAATCTATGAGAATCAGCTGTAAATCTTCAAACAATTATTTTTTTGCCCTAATTTCTGCCCCAATTTTTTTCCTTTGTTTGCTGCTGTTTCAAACTTTCAGTTTGCTGCTGCTCACATGCTCTATTTTATTTATTTATGGATATTGTTGGCATTATTGTTATGTGATGGATGTTGTTGTTTTGAATTGAGGACTATGTGGCATTGGAATTATGTAATGTATTATGTTGCATGGAGGACTATTGTTATCTTGCTGTTATGTTGCTGTTTGAGTTGAGGACTATGGTTATGTTGGTGTTTGAATTGAGGACTATTGTTATGTTGCTGTTTGAATTGAGGACTATCCTCTCTTGCGTTTCAAACATGGTCCTTATTAATTCTAAAAACATACCATTCATTTGTCTCTAATTTTACAGCCATGAAGAGCCGTATAAAAAGTATTGCAGGATCAATGGCTATTGCTGCCACGGTGATTACAAATAAAGAATTACTTTGGGATTCTCGAACATCCAGAGAATTTAAGTCAGCGGTATTTTCTGAGCTAAACCGCAGAACCTTGCTTCTTGAAGGTAATGAAGAAAAAATTGACTACATCTTCAAGAGCGTTAACCATGACGGAGAAGCAATTCTGGAGATAAGGTCAACTCTCGAGGAAATGAAGCGAAGGACGTGTCCGTTCCCTCAAAAGCTTGGTGTGCCTATTCCGGAGGCCTCCAATACCAGAGAGGTTTTATGTTTCACTTAAAATAAATTTGTCGCTTTGTTTTGATAATTAATTAAAATCTAAAGTTGTGTCTTCTTCTGTCTGTGTAGCCACCATCTCAAGGCGAGCTTCTCAAGTTTGCAGTTGAAGCTGCACTGCACGAGATTATGAGGGACACTCCGGACTGTAAAGCTGGTGATGGATGGGCATCTCATGTGCTGAAAAAATGGTAAGTTCTTTATGGGCATCTCATCACGTATGGCCTCGAATTTTTTCATCAATGGCGATGAGAAAACAATATTCACGTTCTCCTTTACTGCATCTTCATCATCACCATCATCCTTGTCATTTTTGAAATCTGCTACAATCTTTCCTAAGCTTTCCATCAGCTTCAAATCCTCCTCCATTTTATGCTGATCCATTTTCTCAGACAGCAAACAAATCATGCTTGCCAGCCTCTCGTTTTCGGACGAACTTCTCAATTGTTTTCTCCGAATTCCTAATTTTCGCTTCCAGCTCGGCTTGAATTTCGCGTATTTTCTTTTTGGAACTAAAAAGTTCTTTCTCTTTCTCATCCGCCCTTTTATGTAGAATTCTCAGATCGTTTTCTAGCTCCATGATCACACCATTTTTCTCCTGAACTTCCATCTCCTTAAAAATACCTAGTTCGATTTGACTTTTCCCATGATTCAGTCAACACATTTCGTTCTCTCTGCATTTTCGACAGTTTGGAAGAAAAAGATGAGGTTGAGTTCTCGAACTCCTTTTCCGAGCATGCCACGAGCTGCTGAAGCTCGTATATCCTCTGATCCTTCTCCTCCACTAGTCGGTAAAAAGTTCTTTTCGCCTCATTTTCTTCTTCTGCTGTATTTTCTTCTTCAACCCGATGCTTGAGATCGTCTATTTGTTTCTCTTTCTCTTCAAGCGTACGACTGAGGTTTTCTCTCTTACTTGAGACTCATCTCAACCTCCATTTGTGAGAAAAGGGAAGCTTCGACATCATAGCTAATCTGAAGGTTATGTTTGAGGTTGACCTCCATTATTCGGCAATCGATTTCCTTATCTGCAGTTCATATTCAATTTCACTGGCCTCAGAGTATTTTTCATAAAGCTCTTCATTTGCTCTGTCGAGAGCATCATGGGCATGTTTCAGGTCGGATTATATTTTTACTAGCTGCTCTTCTGATTGCATTCGGCACTTTTCTGATTTTTCAAGCACGCCCTTGAGCCTTTCCACCTCTTTCTGAAGAGGAAGTTGCAAAATTCTCCAGGGTTTTCACCTTTTCAGACAAATTCACGACTTTCTCTCTTTCATCGTCGAGATCTTTCTGGATGCAATCAACAACCGCCTTCTTTTTATCCAACTGCTTCACTAACTCATGCATGTATTGCATATCTTTGTTCTTCAAAAATTCCGATTTCAGGACCAATAGGAGCAGAGAGGTTTCCTTTCCTGAGTTATTAGTTCTTGTCAAAGAATCACAAGTTTGAAGCTCTCGACTGAGCTCAGTCATTGATGTATCTTTATTTTTCAATCCCCCCCTGCAAGAATTTAGTTCGTCTATCAGTTTCTCCCTTTGGGCCTGCCATTCAGACTCTTTAGCCTTTAGACTTGTTAAGCACCCTTTGTGGGCTTGTTCTAAAGATTTCAGCCTGCTTTGAAGCTTAGAGGACGAATGAGAGAATCCCGCCTCCCGAATTTGTTCCTCTCGGAGTTCCTTTAAGCTCTTGCTTTTCTAGCTCAGATTTCTTAAACTGATACTCCATTTCTTTGTAAAGTATCTCCTTTGTGCCCAAAGAGCTTCTCAGATTTCCAATTTCTTTATCCCTTTTAATGGTCAAGTTCTCGAAATTCAACTTGGCTTTGTCATATTCTGCACAAATGCGGTCGAGACTCGTTCTTGATTCTGACAGTTGAACTCCAATTGTTTGCGCTTGCTTTCTGCATGAACTAGTGCCTGATTGCACATTTCAAGCTTGCGCTCATGATCCCTTGAAATTTTAGTTTTAGACTCCAAATTTGTCTGTAGAGACAAAATCCCGTCAAGGAGTGCAGTTTTATCCTTTTCCCACTCCTTTCTCTCTTGTTTTATATTCATTCCGAAGCTTTTCATGGGCTTCTTGAAGATGGACAAACTGTTCCCATTTCCATTTCAGCTGGTCTTCGAAATTTCTTGTTCTCCTTGTCTGATTTGAAAAATTCCTCCTCCCTTGCTTCAGATTTTTCTGAAGCTTTTATCCTGTTTTCGTGTTCCGAGCACTTTTTCACACTTCTTCACAGAAGATGTGAAAGACGCTCAGCACCTTCAATTTCTTGCTTAAGTGTGCAAATCTGCCGTTCTTGATCTACGTTTTTGGAATCTGATGATGGATTCCTTTTCAGCCAAAGTAGACTTTAGATCATCGTAAATTTGTCTAGCATTAGAAACCTCGTCGTCCTTTTGATTAAGCTCTTGAGCTGGCTTTTCCAGCTTTGAGCAGGCTTCCTTGTTGTTGCTTAGTTGGTCACTGTGGGCTCTCTTTAAGCTTTCAGCTAATTCTGCTTTGACTTGGTATTACTTCTCGAGCCTTTCAATCTCGGCTTTAGCCTCGTCCATTTCTTCATAAACAACAACAACCATTTTCATTAATTCAGGATAATATATGGAGATGTGCCCTCAAAGCTTTTCCATATTTTCTTTGTAGCTAGCCCTGTAGCATGATCTGTTTGTCCATAATAAGAATCACCGTACGATAGAGCCTCGTTCAGTAAGATTAGAAAAACACCATGCTTTTCACACTGAGCTTTGAACTCAACAACCTTAAACAAGATGTCGTAAATTCAAGCTCAAATGCAATAATAACAGGGGCTCGCATTGGATGCCAAGTGGGTATAGCTCAATTCTTGAATATATTTTTTTTTTTTTACTTTTTCTACACTCTCTTTGACAATTAGCTTGACTAAGAACTTTTTCTCACTGTTTTTTTTTTTTTCGCCCATGAATTTTACTTTGTAGTTATCCACTTAATGACATAAAAGAGGCCGTCAATCAAATCAAAACCTCCATAGGAGAAGTCATGGGTGGAACCATGTTAGTTTCTTCTTCTCTTATTATAATTAAAAATTATCATACTTTAGAATTCATACATTATTTTTCGAGTAACAGGTATGACGTCTTCATTGCGGCAGCGTATGCTGAGATTAAAGCTACCGACTCGGCCATCACAGCAATTGAATGTAAGACTTAACGAAACCTGTAGTAAAGGCTCAATGTTCAATTTAACTTGCTAATCAATCATTATGAAGAATACTAAAAAATGTTAGCTTATAACCTCTTTAAGGACAGACGACGCAGGAATAAGAGCATCCAACATTCCTTGTTTGACACCCCAGACTTACTCACTGCAACAATAGCTTCTTCAAATGCTCTAATGCTCTAGACCCTAGATGAATAAAAGTTATATCGTTAAAATGTCGACATTTTAACGAAATAACTTTTATTCATCTAGGGTCTAGAGCATTTGAAGAAGCTATTGTTGCAGTGAGTAAGTCTGGTGGTGCCAAACAAGGAATGTTGGATGCTCTTATTCCTGCATCGTCTGTCCTTGTCCTTAAAGAGGTTAAAGCTTACCTTTTTTAGTATTCTCCATAATGATTGATTAGCAAGTTAAACTGAACATTGAGCCTTTACAACAGAAATTGGCTGCTGGAGTTGATCCTGTGGAGGCTTTTGTTCTTTCTGCTGAAGCGGCCGTGGCTGGTGCTGAGTCGACTAAGAAAATGCAGGACTAAGAAAATAATGCAGGAACAGGTGACGCTTTTGAGTCTGAGCTAGAATAATAATTTATTGTATGTTTTTCATATCAATTTTTCCTGTTAATCTTCTTGTTTAGGTCAATTTTCCTGATTTCATATACAAAAATTAGAGTAGACATCTGGTTGTGTTTTGATTTAGGTTATTGACTGTGAATGTGCCTTTAAAGGGAGGACAAAAGAAAAATAATTAGAAATGGATTTCTCTGACTTGACTCATAGGTGGCAAAATTACAATTTCACATATATGAGTAGACAAAAAAGATCTATAAGGTTTGACTCATTTAGCCCGAACCCGTTGAGGCTAGTCCGTTCTAATAAAATTAGCCAACCTATTCGGCATATGTGGTGAACTCCAATCGCACCCAAGCAATCGAGACTCAACGAGCCAAAAGTCATCCAACATTTCATAAATAAGACAAGCATTCATACAGTTAAAACTCATGAAACTTCACAGTTAAAATGAAGGCATCCGCATTGCAAAGCACGAGAACTTGTCTCGGAGAAAGATCTCAGAACTTATGGAACTTATGAAATAGTTCAAACTTATGAAACTTTAGAGGCTTTTGCCATGGCCAGCGCAGCTGCTTTGTACCATGAAGCTGTAGCCATGGCATTGGCACCTAGGTCGGCGATTGATGCTACAATATTTTCCGAGTCGTTGGATGACCTCACATCTTGTTAAAATAAAGATGGAAGGTAAAAAAAATATATGTCATGTTCTAAATTTACAATTTGATCTCTTAAAAAGTTGCATTTTGCATAATTTAGGGACAAAAGGACCAGTCATCCCTCATTGTCCCTAAATTAGCAAAATGCAACTTTTGAAGAGATCAAATTATAAATTTGAAACATGACATATATTTTTTTACCCTTCCATCTTTATTTTAGTAGGATGGGAGGATGGGAGGTCATCTAATGACTCGGAAAATATTGTAGCATCAGTCGCCGACCCAGGTGCCAATGCCATGGCTGCAGCTTCATGGTACAAAGCAGTTGCACTGGCCGTGCCAAAAGCCTCTAAAGTTTCATAAGTTTGAACTATTCATAAGTTCTGAGATCTTTCTCCGAGACAAGTTCTCGTGCTTTGCAATGCGGATGCTTTCATTTTAACTGTGAAGTTTCATGAGTTTTAACCATGGTTTTTGATCGCGGGCTATGGAAAATAGCGTCGGGCATTTCTGTCCGCTATTCGAAGCTATAGCGCCAATATGGCCGCGCTATGGCATAGTAGCGCCAGGCTGTTTTGCCGCTATTCGTGCTATTTGGCGCTATAACGGCGCTATTTGACGCTATATAGCGTCAAATAGCGCCGCTATAGCGCCAAATAGCGTGAATAGCGCGAATAGCGGCAAAAACAACAATAGCTTGGCGAATAGCGCCAGGCTGTTTTAACTGTATGAATGCTTGTATTTTTAATGAAATGTTGGGTTACTTTTGGCTCGTTGAGTCTTGATTGCTTGGGTGCGATTGAAGTTCACCACATATGCCGAACATGTTGTCTAATTTTATTACAACGGACTAGCCTCAACGGGTTCGGGCTAAATGAGTCAAACCTTATGGATCTTTTTTTGTCTTCCCATATATTTGAAATTGTAATTTTGCCACCTAAATAGCTTTTTTGACGGTACACATACTCTAGTGAGAGTGGTCTGTTCTAATATGGTCCGAATTCTAATACCATTTATCCAAATTTTGTTTTAATTACCCAAAACTTCTCACGGAAAGCATTTCATTAAATAAAAAAGCATCTCCTCTGAAAAATCCACCATTAATAATATACTTCATTCGGTTTATTTTTCTCTCGCTATTGTCAACCATGGAAATTTCTTCAAGCAACTTCTGCTAGCATGTAACTACCGAGCATGTGCTAATAGGTTTGTTTCCTGGTATCTAAATAAAATATGAGTTGTGGAGTATATGTAAATACTGGAGATCTAATATATAAATGTTATGATCTAAATAAAATATGAGTTGTGGAGTATATGTAAATAATGGAGATCTAATATATAAATGTTATGATCTGAAGATATTTGGTTGAATAGATAATGGGTAATTAAGGGGGTGATTGTATATGAATTAAACTAGTAAAAAATTGGTTTTTTTTTTTTTTTTTTTTT